ATGTATGAGTTGGAGGTATAGTTGGTTTCAATGAGTGATACCTTAACACCGGACATAAAACTGGTCGAGACGGCCAAACCGTGATTGAAGTTATCGATTGCATTCGCCAATAGATTTAGATAACCGATGCTTTCGATTGTTTTTGTCTTCAAATTCCTCTTATCCTTATATTTCTTCTTATGGTTATTGTTCTTATGGTTATTCTTCTGTATTATATTTGTGTTCAAACTCTATAAGAAAGTTAACAATTTGTAATCAAACTTTTAATAAATTATTCATCAAATGAATGAATACTTTATCATTTGAGTTGAAATGTTTGAAGACGATATCAATCAAAACGAAGGTAAATATTCCGATGATAATCCAAATTCCTATAGTATTATATGCATTGAATGGATATTTGCTTTCTTTCAATGATATCTTCACCACTTCTGGAAGTAAATGCAAGAATACATCACCCAATAGACTGCCGACACTAAAGCTTAATAAAAGTGACAGATCTTCATCTAAATATAAATGAATAATTGCATTGAAAATTGTAGAAAATTTGATAATTATAAAGCGAAAGACAATTACAAAATGTTTATTTCTATATTTAGTAATGAATAAGAAATGAGAATAAACTTACTTTTAAAATAAGAGTCATTAAACTTGAAGACAATCATCGGTAATATACCGGTCAGACCGATGAGACACGAACACGATATACACAACACCCATAATTGATAGGAATTTATAAAATAATATATTATATCTAACATGTTATTTTAATAAACTTTTTTAATATATTATATATCTAATAGATCTATAGATGTATTTAATATTTCTGATTTTACTATTTAAACTATTATTTTATATACAGTATTATATTATTAAATGTAATTACATTTAATAATCACATGTTTTTATTTTTGTCGTTATTATTAACATATTATATTGAATATATTAATTTTTGCAAAATCATTTAAAGTAGATTATTATATTTACTAAATTCATGAATTTAAGTTTCATTTTCGCACAATTTTTAAATAATTTTTATACAATTTCTTGATTCACTCAAATCATATAACATATAGTTTTTAAATTTAAAAAACACAAATTAGAGTACAACTTTTTTTTATTTATTTGCTCTGATGTAGGCGTCAAAACTCAAAACTGTTTGCAAATTTGGTTTTATGACAACGGTTCATGTATTCACCAGAATTTCATAATTACTTTTTGATACAATATTTTATCGCACATTTTAAGAGAGCTTGCCGTTAAATACAGTACAATACTAGAATATCGTATACACTAATCTAAAGTTACCAATTATCAATTGATAACAATAAATGTATCTAAAGTATTTAAAAATATTTATATAAAAGTTTAATTCGGGTATATATTTATATAAGTTTTATAAGAAATTTTAAATGAAAATAATATTGCTTAAGTTATATTAAATAAAATAAAATAATATTAAATTAAAAATGAATTCATGTACTGTAGTACGTGACTCTAAACTCGTGTCCGTTACTGTAATACAAAATTCATGATCTGTTGCCTCTATTTTTAGATCAATTGAGTAAACATTAGACATACGGACTAAACTCTCATATATATTTTAAAAATTTGATAACCATGCATAAAATTAGAATGTATTTTATATTTTAAGATGTAATTATAAATAAATGGTCAATTATAATTATCATTTAAGTAATTAATATTTTTAAAATACTATAAAGTATATTCTTAATAGTATTCTTAATGTATATTCTATTTGTTAATATTTTACCCATTTATGTAAATTAATATCTTAATAAATATATTAAAATTAAAAATAATTGAATAGACAATAAACAGGGAAAATGTGTTATTAGATGAAGTGTTGAAAATGTATGAATTAAGTTGAGATGCGCTCTAGTATTGAACACAACCCTCCTTTTTATACGTTTAGTTACTAATTATAGAAATAACATAAAAATAATTTCTAAATGGAAGTCAACTGATAATCTGAGAGATAAAAGAAAAACTAAAGAATATAATTCTTGAGAGTGAATGCATTTGNTCACGTCAAAAATGGATTTCTCTCTCAGCATACGGTAGCGTCACTAATGCCTGTCCACTCAATCCATTAGTTATCACTTATTAACCATTTTATTACAATTTATTATTTTTTATTACAAACAATTATCTAAACATTATTCTCACATTTATTTTTATTGGTTCAGATTTAGATACCTTAATAATTATTTTAAATTGAATTTAAAAATTAAATTAAATGTTGTAGTGAATACTTGTAGAGTATATTAAAATTTGAAATTAATAAATATATTCTATAAAAGTAGTAAATCAATATAACTCTTTTAATAATAGGATTACGAGTTTTATCACATAAAAACATAAACGCAAAGTAAACTCAGAATTTTTTGAGTTTATGCAATGAAGTCCTATATATTATACAGTGTATTATTGTATAACTTATATAAAATTTTCATTATAACACTAAAGGACTAATCTTAGATTTGAGCATTTAAGAATGTAAAATACATTGAATAACAAATGTGAAATATTTTTCTAAATTTGGTTTCAAAAATAATATAGACTCTAGATAAACTTCCGGACAAAATATTACTGAAGATATTCACTTATTTGCCGCACCGGGAAGTGTCACGTTTAGCACGAGTTTGCAAGAAATGGCGAATGATTTCATGCGATTCCAAGCTATGGACGCACGTCTCTCTCAGACCCGATGTGTCGGGACTTCATGTAACGAGTATGGAGTCACTCCTCGCCCTCATATCCATAAGATTTGGTTAGCTCTCCAATAATAGATTGTCTCTTAATATGTGTAAAATTGTCATATTTGATGATTAGGTCCATCACTGCGTTATATAGAGCTGCCCATTGAGTTGATAACACATACAGTACTCCACGAGTTGGCCAATAAATGTCCAAATCTAACGAATATGTTATTGGACTTCTCAACGGCTATGCAATTGCATGATTTCAATGATTTGCATTCATTTCCCACTAAATTGCGAACGATGTGTATCTGTTTGTCTGAAGTTATTTTTATGGAGGGATTTATGCGGAAGATCTATAATTTCATCAATGGTTTAGAAGTCTTGCATTTAGTGGGAACTTATGAGAAGGCAGTGGAGGAAGAGGAGGAAGAGATCTATGAAGTGGTTAACATCCATAAGCTTAAGAGTGCTGTTCCCAACCTACGAGTGGTTAACTTATTTGGCATTAATTTTGTAGACGACAGTCATGTAGACTCTCTAAGCAGTAATTGCATACAACTCGAGTGTTTAGCACTTAATTTTTGTACGAAATTCACTGGAAGTACATTAAAGCTATTGTTTCATCGCTGCAAAAGACTTCGATGTCTTCTTATGCAACACACGAGTAATTCATTTCACATGTTTTATCCCTTCATTAATCAATATTTCAAAACAGATCTACAGAGCGATCATATGATGTCTGTCGAGTGGGAAAAGACAAATATACAGGAATTGGATATAACGGCCACAGAATTGTCAACAGATTGTCTGATTGACGTGTTGTGTCGCATACCGTCCATCCGTTACTTAAGTGCCGGACAACAGGATTGCTTCACTGATTTGGTTTTGTATGAGTTTATGGAAAAGGGAAACACGAAGTCATTGATATCATTAGATTTAGACCGAAATGAAAATGTTTCCGAAGAAGTGCTCTTAAAGTTCCTTAAAATTCAGGCCCCAATGCTTAGAGGGCTTCAGCTCTCGGGCTTACCTCATCTCACAGAATCATTTTGGACTACAGTATTGCCGTGGCTTAAGAATATTAAGTAAGAATTATGTATTCATTTGTATTCACTATTTAATTATTAATGTTATTAATGTTAATTTTATTATTTGATTCACTAAAATTTTTATTATTTAAATGAATTTATAGTATTGAGAAGGTATTAAAATAATGAATATATTTGCAACGTATAGAGTGCTAGTAATGGGAATGCCTGAGGGTTGTTGTCAAAAGATCCACCAGAAGATCCATATCGACTCTCTCATCGATTCAATCGCCAATAATTGCGGACAAATCGAGCGAATCGAAGGCCGTTGGGATTCAGAGACTCTTCGCTTCTCCGACAGAAGCAGTAAAGCCGTCGGTTTGTTAGCCTTTTCTATTTCAAAGTGTTTTCATTTTTGGTTAATTGTTTTTAAAATATTTGTTATAATTATAATATTATATGTTTGCAAAACAGATGCGATTAGAATGAAATGTTTAAGACTACGGTGCTTGTGCCTGAGTGATGGTAAATACTTTGAAATGGTATGTATTTTGAAATTATCAAGTCAATGAATATACAGTTTAATAATGTTTATCAAAATGTAATTATAGGTGAAAAGCAACTTCGAGAGGGCCGACAGGGCCACAGTTGTGCGCTCGACCACCAACTGTAGAGTCACTTTAGTCTATTTGCTCTATAATTATAAAGATTTGATATTTAATTAGCATTTCAATCACAAATTCAACTCAATTTTGTTTAGTTTTCATTTGTCTGAATTTGAGATTAAGAAATGTATTTTATATGAATTTCCATCAGATTAGTATTGAAACATCTGCAGGAAGTAGTATATCGATAGCGTTTAATGCGGGCAATAGTTTATATCTGTTGTAGACTATTAAGCATTCAAATATTATTAAAATTTGTTAACCAAATAAAATTTCTGTTTATTTATTTTAAACTAAATTTATGTAATTCTAAGCTTTCAAAATGTTATAATAAAATAAGCAAGTTCTTTATATTAAGTATTAGTAAATAATTAAAATAAAAATGTAACTGAATAAATAAATTAATAGCTTCTAAAATACAAAAAAAACTATTTGAAAATTACAAATTTTTTAATTTTTTATTTTAGCAAAATTTAAATAACTTAATTTAAAATTAAAACATTAAAGACATAATCCAATTTTTAAAGAAATAATATGATTATTAAATAATTAAATAATGAATATTAATTGTAATCATTAGACTATTTTTATATTCAATATAGAGTAGTGTAGTCTATAATGTATTATAAAGTGAAATATTAATTTAGAGTTGTATTGAGAAGTGAATTAACAAATTTTATTGCAATTTATTGCCAGGTGTTATGACAGATGAATTGTGACCTCGATATAGCATTTGCTAACTGTTTAAACCATTATGCTTATGCAAAGCGTTTATAAATTCAAATTAATTTGAGTTTTATTTCTAAATTAATCAAACAAACTTTAAAGCGTTGGTTTGGATTAAAAATATATTTGTTAATCAAGATATAATAATTTCATGAAAAACTGAAAATATATTGATAAGTATAGGAATATATGGAAATGAAAGCACAGAAATGAGTCACGAATTATGTATTTATTGTAATAGGAAAGCAAAAGATACTGAAACAGATAAATAGATATGAAATGGTATGAAATGTCACAAAACATATATCCATCAAATAAAATATTAAAAGAAAAGCTGCAAACATGTGGTAAAAAAGAGTAATTATTTGACAGCACAGGTCGGACCACATATGGCCAGCTCTTATTAGATTGGCTTCAATAATGCTCCGGTAGACCACGTGGGCTGTGGGCTCACTATGGGCTCACTCGCTCTCTCGTCTAATATTCATTAACAATACGGGCTTTGCTCTCTCTGCTCTCTGTGCTCTCTATCTTCTCTATGCTCTCTCTCTCTCTCTCTCTCTCTCTCTCTCTCTCCTACTCTGTTCTGTTCTGTGCTCTCCAGACAATCATTGCTTTTGTTTTAATTGATACGATGCGGGCCTTAGAGACTGAACACTTTAACCACAAATGAAACTTTCGTCAAATCGTTGGTAAAACTTTTTAAAATGATTGTTCAGTTTTAAGCTTAAGATGAAATGGACGAGTGGTTGGGCGCTGATGACTGACATACAGTACAGTGAGGTAAGCGTTTGTGAGAGTGTAGAGGACTATTGTACTATACAATGTAGTGTACAATTAGCATATAGTGCTCAGAATAAAGTGGACCTGGAGTTTATGATGTAATGATGAATGCATTGCTTTATTGTGACCGTTATAATGGGCGTAATGTGTATTAAGATGAGGCATACGCTCATTATATCGTGCACTGCAAGGCATTGCATACAATGCTTCGACATCTCATCCAACTTGTGTCCATCACTTGCAAAGACCGAGTGATATATATGTTTGACTGCAAGAATCGGTGAGTGAATTATTGCCGGTGTGTTGAGAGACAGTAGGCATGAGTGCAAACATTGCAAACTTCTGCAAACAAAATACTTTTTTCAGTTGAGTTGGGTTATGAGAATATAATAGGTATTTTAGATGACATTTTAGAGCAAATATTGTTTGCTTTGAACAACAGGTGAGCAATGAATTTAATAAAAGTTTGTGTAATATAATAGCGTCAGTAGTTATGCTGAACAACAGTAGTGTTGTATGAATTGAAAGCCAAAAAGCATTGCAAAGAGTACTGATATATTGAATACTAAAATATATTATCAGCATTAATGTCATGCAATGGTATTCTGGTTGGAATTATCTCGAATTGAAGCCAATATACAAATATACAGTACATTACATGAACTGTAGTCTAGTGTACTGTAGACTATAATGTATGTGTCTATCAGTAAGTAGTGATAGGGACTGGTATGACCTCACTTGACTGTCTAATCAGTATCTGTTCCAATGCTAGCTTTGGTTTAATTTGTTTCTGTTATAGCACTCACTGAAAGCTCTCTAAACGCTATAATTAATATAAAATTAGAGATTAATAACTTGAATATTAGATTAAATGATGCGATAAAAGCAAACAAATGCCTGAATACTGTTTCATAACGTCTACAATGAAATATGAAACCAAAGGCTCATAATTTTAAAGTTTCGAGACTCATATCATTCATAAACTATATACGGTACTGTGTAAGTTAGTTGTTTCATAGTTTTAATGACTTTATCAGACATAGACTATCGGATAGATTTGCAACGGTTTTTGTGAGGCATTCAATTCTGTGAAATGAATTTAATTGAGACCTGACTTAAGCGACACTTGATTTGTATGATTTCGTCAGTAATTAAACAATGGGAATAAATTGTCAAATAATAAGTGCTTTAGTGTGGCAACAGGTGAATACACACTCAATTAATTGAATATGAAAAGTAGGGAAACTTATGCCTCATTGGCGTACGTTTGCAATGTTATCAGAATCGGATGTAGACTCCATACACCAACCAATCATACGTTAGCTAAACAACAGATAGTGTCCACCATTTAGTTAGCATAGAATGAGATCCCAAACAGCGATCATTACAACGTCTAAAATGTAACAAACAGTACAACAGGTGTACAATTGTACACAATTTGCTAACATATTCCTCATTCATATTCAATATTCTCCATTCAAAACACTATTCTCATGTTATGTACCATTACTGCATGAATCCTCTACTGTACTCTCAACTACACGACTCCGCTCGCAAACAGACATTAATGAGTAAATGCAGACCAACTAAAGTAAACACATGATAACTACATAAACCGAAACATACATCTAATCCAATGCAGTCGACCACACCATCAACCCATGGCCACCACCACCTATGCTTCTGTGTGACCGGTAAGAAAAAGCACTGCAACTCTAGTCACTTCCCTAATACTTCTCAAACTTGTCTCAAACTTGTGTCTCATTTTTGCTTTTGCTTCACTAAACACTTGTGTCGACTCATGTCCTTATAATCTGCTAATGAATGATGCAATCATTTTCACCGCTTTTTGCAAATCATAAGCATTTTTTAATTTTTATAAATATTATTAACAATATTTTGACCATAAATTTAAAATCTCATTGAGAATAATGTTATGTTACTTCCTAAAAAGCTTAAGTGTATACTGTAAGTGTGTGCTTGCTTAAAGCTCTTAATTAAGTGTAGAATTTAATAATAATTGATGTTTTAAAAATGGTGTAAATTAATTAAAATGATATTTTAGAAAATAGAGTAAAAATGTGCAAAATACACATGAAATCTGGTATTTTTATCACTTATAAAGCGATAGCTAAGTGTACGACTATTACACCACTACTATACCTTCTGTGTTAACCAATGCATTGCATATCCAATTACAGCATAAAACTGGTAACCCTTTGCACACATTTGCAATCATTCTGTAGTTTTATAACCAAAGATCTGAACATCTGAAGTATAAGTTTTCAATTCAAATTGGGAATCAAATTCTAGACAAACGTCTACTTTTGGTCACTTCCTCTGCAAATATGTGGTCTAATAATTGGTGTATTTGAGGGCCGATAGCATTGGTGCACAAAGCGATCACTTGTTCAAAGTGCGAGTCTCTGGTTATGTGGCTGTCGTACCAGTGCTGGGATCCCATCATCAATCCAAACACTATTACTATTTTATATATAGTCTTGAGTTGAGAGAGATTTCAAAAACTTATGAGTTGCTGAGAACTACTCTGTATTCAGTTATTTAGTTGTTTGTAATTTGTGATAAAAGCCTCAAATAAGTGGCAATAACTTTGGTTTGGGATCTCATTATCATTGATTCGCAGACAAACCATACAAAACATCACTTTGTTTGCTATCATTTCAAGAGTTTCCTTCCGTCACAAAATCATTCGTGCGATTCATATATAATACTAATTGCATCTAATTTCCTATTAATCGTAACTTTTAAATTCAATTATATGTTCACCAAATATGTTGCCATTACTAACACATCGAAACCGCTTTTACGTTAAATGAATTAATTTGCAGATAAAAGCGTAACGAGAAAATAGCATCTGTTTTGACAATTGGACTCTACTTCTAATCTTCTACTCATCCAAAAAACGAGTCATTTATTTGACTTTTATCACTAAATTATCTCATTTTCACTGTTGAGTGGAATCGCAATCAACGAGAATTACAGTTAAATGAAATATTGAGTGGTTTAATGGAAATAATTCTTTGGATCAGATGCCAGACTTCTAAGTAGTAGTGCCGCAGGTAATCAAATGTTGAACTTACCTGCACACGACTGCTTAACAGACTGAGCACTCCTACACTCCCGTCCCTTTCACTTTCACATTCACACTACTAATGGTACAGTACTTATGGTAATTACAATCAATAAAATTGCATTTAATATTCATTTATTTATATTTAAATACTAATAATTAAGTTTTTATAATAATTTTTTGCGATATTCGATAAAATGATATATAAATTGCAAAAAATATCTTTTTGTAGAAACATTTTTATTTCAATTAAAATAATAACCAAAAAACAAAATAAAAACAAAAATAAAATATATTATAATATTAATAATATGTTGTTTTACTTGGATATTGAAAAGAATAGCAATTTATTGTAATTTATTTAAAATCGATTCATTTGTCAATTTCTAAATGAAATTAAAAAACTTTGCAATGAATGGCGAATGTAATGCGATATACAGTGTCTTAACACAAAAGTCTTCAAATTTAGTCGAGATTTACATATCATTATGAAAATGAAGGCAAGAATTGTTTGCAAAGGCTTTTTGTCAGTTCGTGAAAGTAACCATTAATGGCATAACCATAATATGCAATACAATTAAAAATTTAGTCAAAACTACTTAAAATTGTAAGACTATTGGTATTAGTATTAAATGATTTTGTGATCTGATCGACAATTGGAATGAAAGTGACACTTAATTTACTAATTAATCCCTTTTTCACATCATTTCCAATAACCGAAAGACCGGACAAAATGTTTAGAAAAACGCTTTCATTGTTTCGGTCTTCAGTATTTTAAGTAAAATAAATCCTGTCTTTTGTGTCCAAATTGATAAAAGTTAAATATTTTGTCGTTTATATCACAGTTTAAATAAAGGAGCGCTCGTTTGATGTGTGAAACAATTGACTACTCGTTGTCTCTCACTTGTCAGTGATCTGTGGTCTGCGAGACCACCACTTGTACCACAAAACCAGTCTGCAATTTGCAATCTTCTATCCTTAGCTTATCACTCAATAGTCTGCCCCCAAAAAACCACCTGAAATACAGTCATTTCATTACTAATCAATGAACGCAATCAATGGACAACACAATAGACACGCTATACCTCTGTCGGAAGGGCTCAACATTTTCTAAAAGCGCCAGTTTTTTCTTAGCGCTTAAAATGGTTTCCTTCGAGAGAACCGCCATTTTTACGTCATTACACGACGGACTGATCCGAAACTTGACAAATATCTCTTCGCCACCAGCGGTCACACCGATTGGTTCGCTTTCAGGCGACGGCGACTCGGAATCGCTGCTCTCTTCAATCAAATTGATGGGAGCGCTCACACAATAGATGGGCAGTTGGTATCGGTTGCCCAACTCGTCGTAACAGTCCAGTAGTGTACCTATCAATGCATTCAAACGCTTATTGGCGGCAATGGTCGCGTGGATGGCAGACAAACCATTAGGCAGTGAGATGTTGGCGCCATCGATGATAGCCTGAGCCAATGCGAAGTCATTGCTTTCGGCCGCAAACGCCGCCGCTTTGAGAGCGTCCCAAATCTCTTTGCGTCCCTTTCAGTCATTTCATAAGCAATGCCTTTAAGTAATGAAGACATACCTCAATGACATGGCATACCTCGAAAGCGGGCGCCGTATCCCAAAACTCATCCCTTTTAGACCTCAACTGTCCGTCAGTCAGAGGGACGTCACTAAACAGATCAACACATTGATAGTCACCGTTAAGTGAGATAATCACACATTTGGTCATAAGATATCTCTATATAAGTGGTAAGTAGTGGTGATGTCAGACCTCTTCCACTTAAGCATTTCATGTTTGAGGGCCTGATTCTTGCCAATGGATACTAAGACATATAAGACATGAAACACATCATTAAGACAATTGCAATGAGTTTGAGTTTCATTTGTTTAGTCATTCATTGAAATAAATACAATAAAATAAATGAATAATTAATGAATGGATTATAAAACAAATGATGAATGGAAATGGCGTTCAATAGGTCTACCATTTGGATGAATATTACTGTTGAGGGAATCACCACTCGATGGACGACTCCTTCGTGATCCGAGACAACCACCCATAGGTTCAGACAAACATAACCACAATTGAGTCGCTATTATAAGATATAATTAACTAAATATATGAACCAAAAGACACACATATCTGACATTCACACCAATCAATGATTTTATTGTTTTATTATGAATGCAAACAAACTGTAAGTAATTTAAAGCCTATGGAAAACAGCTGACTATCATTTCACTCATCGGACTAGAGATCTGCACACAACCACATCCCTGTCTACACTCAACACCATCTCCCACTTGACCACTCATTTGCCATTAGTTTGCGTCCATGTATTTGATGGCTGCTTATGTGACCACTCAGTCATCCGCAGGTAATCAATGGTTCAATGAGTGGTCACTGTTTTGGATGAGCTATAAGTGCAGTGCTATTCAAAACCGTTGACACCTCTGAAGCAATGTTTTAGAGGTTATGCAGACTGTATGCGTCGGACTGCACGCATTGTGCCATAGATTGCATTGCATTACACACCAACACTACTGGTAGTGTACGACCGGTAAGTATTGACATTGTTTTCAGTACTCTTTACTGGATTTACTGGATGTGATTGCAATCAACTGTCCATTCATTGTTGGAATCGCTTCTCAGACATTGACATCACATTGGTTTGTATGACAAGTGAATCGAGAGATGTTTCGATCAGCCCTTAAACTTAAGACTATTTCGGTATTCATTTAGTCATTGTTTTGAACCAGAGTTTGAGTTAATTGTTGATAATTTGCAGAATATATCGAAACGCAATCGAAATCAATGTCTTCGGTATTACACCACCGATGGAGGCAAAAGGTTAGCATTTGATCCAAGGTGTAAGCAATTGGTGTAATCGTGAATTGAATACTGAATTGGCAGCCAATCTGCAAAAGTTGGTCTAATAGTGGGTTCATCTGTGGTTGTGTTGACGGGTGTGACCATCGGTTACGCTAAATATGATCCCGACTTCAGGAGAAAAGTGCAAAATACTGTCCCATTGTCTCAACATTTGTTTAACACATTATTCGGACCATTAGTTGACAAACAGTTGAGTATATCGTCGGCTATTGACTTGAAGTCAAGAGACAAAACCGAAAACAGTTTTTTGGATAAAAAGCGAAACAGAAATGCAAACCAATTGAATGAAAAGGACTCCAAAGCTGTTACTAATAGCGGTGATAAGAGTGCCGACAAAACACAACATTTGAGTCAATCAAACGAATTGAAAGATTCAAAGACAGGAAATGAGAAACAAAGCAAAGACTCGGAAACCACTGCTAAGATAGGAGACAAAGATGAGAAAACTAAGGATACAATTGATCTATTGAGTGATCCATCGGTTTCAGACTTGGATAAGATTATTGCGAATGAAGTTTTGAAAGATTTAATGAATGCAGTGTCAACCGATGATCAGAACCTCAGGAATGATATCGAACTCGAGTATCAAAGAAAGGTTTGTCTGTAAACTATTGTGAATTAAGGGTTGGTTTAAAAGTGACACCAATTTATTGTTTATCTTACAGTTAACTAAACTCGAAGAGAAGTTTGAATCGGAATTAAAGACACAATTAAAGAGACAATTGTCTGCTTTTAATGAGCATTTGGACGAACAGATGTCCACTTTAAGGCACCAATTAAAACGAAATTATGATAACTCTGTTGAAGAGAAGTTATTGGAGGAGCGAAACAATTTCCAATCGGAACTCTCCAACAGTTTCTATAGATTGAAATTCTTAGAGGAACTCATTAAAGGTTTATCTCTTAAATCATAAGCTCTATTGTAATCTAAAATAAAATTTTAAAATGTTTTAATTACATTGTATTTTGTTGTCTAATTGCTAGCGAGGGAACAGTTGGATAGCGACCAATACTCTGTTCGTGAGCTCTGGGTCTTAGGTCAGGCTTTGAAGGAAACGCTGAGCCATAAGCCATCGCTGGGCGAGGAATGTCAGCCAATATCATTGGGTGAAGAGATGAGTGCTATTCAGACTATTCTGAGCAAAGACTCTTTGAAAGATCGGCCAATAATTCGTTGTGCACTCGAAGGCATGCCTAAAGAAGTCATTCAAAACGGTGTCTACAGTGAAGAAGATTTGATAAAACGATTCCAAAAAGTGGACAAATTCTGTAAAAGAGTGGCTTTGATTGGAGACGAAGGCGGAAGTCTTTATCTCTATTTACTGTCTTATATTCAATCGATTCTAGTTTTTCGGGATTCAAGAATACCAGCCCAAGAGCTCGAAGACCAAGAAGTGGATCCATCGAATTGGGATACTTTCGATGTATTGACTCGAGTCAGACATTGTCTTAATAATCGTAACTTAGAAATGGCCCTCAAATATGCAAATCAACTGAAAGGTGAGCCCAGGAAAGTGGCTAAAGACTGGATTCGTGACACGAGAACCCATCTCGAGATTAAACAAGCGGTTGATCTTTTGATCACTGAAGCCAACGCCATAAATGTTCAGATAATTAATTGAAATGTATTTAAAGTTTTAAATTATTTTCAATGATTTCATTGAAATTTTATGTAATTTTAGTAAATAATTAATTATTGAATACTTTATTCTAAAAGTATTAAATATTAAAAAATAGTAAATTTAAGGCGAATTGAGAAAACATTAATAGTAAAATAAATTAATGATTTTTAAAAATGTTATTACAGTACAATAATTGTGATTTACATGTGATTTAATTTATTCAGTAATTTGGCATTTTATACACAATTACGTTACCGTTAGGTAATTACGATAACATTTTATTCAATCACTTTTTCGAGTAATTCTTCGTATTTAGAGTTCTCGAAGTCTGCGGAACCGTCGCCTTTGAAGTAGTTTCGGAGCAGTTCTTCTTCGGATAGATCCGTCAGATAGTAGCCATTCGCGCGATCGCATGACTTCAGCACTCGAAGCACTGTCTTTGCATTATTCACATCCAGAGGAATGAATGAAAGCAAACTGTAGTCCTCTATAACACCGGCCAAAGCGGCCGTCAGTTTCTTATATTTGGCCAAAAATGGGTCGTTTTGTTCGTTCACTTTGTCGACCAAATAGTTGAGGTCCAGGAGATCGCAGTAGAAGTCGAGTCCGAAGTCTGTTTTCGAGTACTTTTGGATCAAATCTACTTTGGAGAGGACACTGATGTGTGGCATCTCTAAGTGGATCATTGAGTTCAGACAATTGAGGGCAACGGATATGAACTTCGAGGCGTCGTTCGTGTAGTGACTGTCGACTATATTCACCACAACAAGACGCACATCCAATCCAACACTTCCAACACTTCCATCAGTCGGGGTCTCCCTCTTTGCCAATGAATTCAATTTATTGACAAAACTCTTGAGAGCCGTATGATTGGTGTAGAGCTCTATCTGACCCGGACAGTCGATTATCACATACGGAACCACTGACTCATTAGGTTTGGTGGCACTCTTCACGGCGTTCACCAACTCATCGCAAAACCAGTCAAAGTTCTCGTCCAAGAAATCGATGCAATAAAGAAGGGAACCGTTCGGTCCCAAAGACATGGTTTCCATGACATCAGACAAAGTGATGAGTTTTGAGATATCAATAGTGGGCTCATATGGCAGGACATCATTTGCTGGATCAATGTTAACGGTGATGACAGTGCGGCCCAATTGTCTCAAGTAATCGGTCATCACATGACAGTATGTGGTCTTTCCAGAACCCGCCGGACCCACCACTAGCTGACCAAACATTGGGTCAACTGTTGCACTCATTGTCATCGATGTATCACTAGATCACCACAATTTGGTCCACAAATCAATTCAATTCAAAAGGCATTGCATTTCGTTCACAGATTTTGCGCATTCAGTCATTTGTTTGATAACATGAGCCATGTTTTGGTGCCTTTTTATTTCGCATAACGTATGAGTGATTGTGAATAAAAGTACCAAAACATGGATTTATTTATTTTTGAAGGATTGCACCAAAATTGTCAACAAATTTAAATGTCTTGAGAGTCGAGTCGTGGAAGTGATTGAGTGGTCGGATGTGTAGCGATGGGCGCCTCCCAGTCAAGTGATTTCGATACCTCTAAACTCAACTCTTTCTGGACAGTCATCGGCTTATCTCACGACCCGATCCACACATTTGTCGGTAATATTGATGAGACATTTGAATTAAAGAGCAATCGATGGCCAGAGTCTTAATGGTATGTCTTATGCCTGGATGTGTTGCAGAGATGTGGTATCACGTGTTCTTGTGGTCACTGTTCTCGTCAATCATAATCCATATGTTGGCGTCGAGTATAGCGTTTGGATCTCTTCGTCGCCATAAGAGTCTGCGATTTGGTCCGCTTCTGGTGTTGATGTCTGGAGTGGTGACCCCTTTGACGGCTTACTCCATCACATCGGCGGCCGTGGCGGGGGTTCACAGGGCCGCCAGCTTCCAGATGTACCCCTTGTATGCCATGTTCTGGGGCTGCGGACAAACTCTGGTCACTCTTGTCTTCTCATTCACCAGAGTTTTAGCCACTCTTTGACCCAATAATGCGATGAAAATAGAGTTTATTTTAGTTATTATTTGTATAAAAGATATATTGTTTTGAATTTATATTTATTATGCGATTAAATCAATAAATACTCCAATTTTATGTCCAAATGATTTGTCGTTTGTATAAATGATATATAACTTAAACATTTAAGTTCTTAAGGGATCAAATGAAGTCATATTCGCCACCATTTGCTATCATTATTCAAGAAATATCATCAAAAATTGGTTAAAATTAATTGATTTAATGAACAAAATGTACACAAAACTTAATTTATATAACAGATAATTAACTAACAATTTGTACGTAAATATAAATAAATTGAAATAATGTTTAATAAATAATAAGTTAATTAATGACTGATTTAGAGATCAATTGGAGTGAAGAGTGTGTCTCTGTCTGTGTCTCTATGTCTGGTACTGTTGTCTTCGGTTGGAATAGTACTGATGGACAGAGAGGGCGAGGGATGCGATGTAGAGACAGGCGCCGATCCAGCAGTTGTGAGCGGCCGACTCATACTTGGAGAAGGACCAATAATGCGATGAAAATAGAGTTTATTTTAGTTATTATTTGTATAAAAGATATATTGTTTTGAATTTATATTTATTATGCGATTAAATCAATAAATACTCCAATTTTATGTCCAAATGATTTGTCATTTTTATAAATGATATATAACTTAAACATTTAAGTTCTTAAGGAATCAAATGAAGTCATATTCGCCACCATTTGCTATCATTATTCAAGAAATATCATCAAAAATTGGTTAAAATTAATTGATTTAATGAACAAAATGTACACAAAATTTAATTTATATAACAGATAATTGACTAACAATTTGTACGTAAATATAAATAAATAGAAATAATATTTAATAAATAATAAGTTAATTAATGACTGATTTAGAGATCAATTGGAGTGAAGAGTGTGTCTCTGTCTGTGTCTCACAGAGATACAGACCATGACAACAGAAGCCAACCTTATCATGACTACCTGTCTCTCCCGCTCCCTACGCTACATCTCTGTCCGCGGCTAGGTCGTCAACACTCGCCGGCTGAGTATGAACCTCTTCCACTGAGCCATGAACTCCTTCAGATCCATATCGGGTCCGCCGCCCAACTCCTTCAGCTCCAGGTCTTCGGCAAACGCCAGTGAATGCGAGTACAACAGGATTCCCATCAGAGTTAGCATTACTATCGCCCACACAGACAGTAGGGAACAACATATGGCCGCTCTCTTGCTGCAGATTATCATTTCAGACACCTATTTGACCACTGATTCAAGCAATCACTGCCTAAGACAATGAGTTCATGTCTTCGTGTGAGTGTCACTCAAATGTTGTCAATACAGCCACCGATCGATACACTGAGTCTCACATCAATGACAGTTGCAGTCAATGGCTATCATATCAATGGATTCACTCGTAGTGGCAATGAATGAGTGGAATATAGCTATGAATGAGTGAATCACTGGTTTGTGAACTCAATTCACTGCAACCCTAACACATAGTGACCGTTGTGTCCATTCACTCACTGAAGATTAGTCAACTAAATTCACAATTAGTTTCCCATCTGTTGTATGAAAAAGGAAATAACGAAAGCCTTATCGAAGCGTATTTTTGTACCCTTTATAGTATACAACATATTGAACGCTATTTTTGAAAAGTGCTAACATTTTGTGGTTTCAATCAATTGTCAATTCATTAGATCTGAAGACCTTTCCATTCAAAGATGACTGCATTTGAAGGTATGTTTGAACCACGCATTCATTGATGGCATTAATGACAGATAATATGATTGGTGTCAGAGATGGGCATAATGTCGGAGATCGCAGAAGCGGTCGAACGCATGGA